ATATATATATATATATATATATATATATATATATATATATATATATATATATATATCTGTGTGTGTATGTTGCGTGTATGAATATATGTGAAAATATTTAGTGTGTGTGTATTTAGTGTGTATGAATATATGTGTGTATGTTGTGTGTATGAATATAACTTGTCAAATGCCTTAGGGAGAGATTCCTGATACCCTTAGAATCAAATGTAAATAGGAAGTGATCCATCGCTATAAAATAGAGAGGTATTTGATATTTTGTATAAGGAATCATAAAGTATAAAATCAAATGTAATTGTAACAATATTAAGCAACTAAAAATAGAGAGCATCAATAATTTACGTTAAAAAAAATATAATAAAAAATCACAAGGTATTTGAACACATCCATTAATCAATAAGGATGAAGTGCGAGAGGTTTACGATGACAATATAAAATCCAAAGAGCACATAAGAAATTTCAACACTCTTCTTGCAGAGAAATTTAGTGATCCATTGATAAGCCCAGAGTACATTTTAGTATCGAGCACTCACGTATGGTGTCAAGTGTCTATTGGTTGATGGAATGTGAATCGACTCGCTGATATGATGGGTCAAAGTTGACCAATGCCAAGTCACGTTGGCTCAGTCTACTCTCAGGCTGTTACTATTCCCCCCCCCATTAAGCCGAGGAATTCGCCAATTGTCTCGCCACCATTTACGGCCCTCTCAGCTGATAACGTCACACATGCAAATGTATTGTCAACCGTAATGGTGGGAAAGACTTCGTTTCACTACCAAAGGGCATTTCGACTCTGATAACCCAAATAAACATGTCGATCTGACTTCACAGCCATGTAAAGCACGCACCCACAGATATATAACTATATCACCACCATCCTTTCGTTGTCGGGGTTGATTGAGATGGGCATGGCGTCCGGGCAGCTGGTGGTGGTGCTGCTCCTCCTGGTTTCATGCTTGCAGGTTCCGATGGCAGCGAGGGTGGTGGAAGGGAAGTCGTGGGTCGAGCGCCGCCGCATCTTGCCGCAGTCTACAAAACCGACGTCGAGGCTTTCGAATTGCACCCATGATCGCACCAAGAGTGGCCGAGCTTGTTTCCACAAACAAAAGCATCGAAGGTCTATACTCTCTTCGGAGACTGACTATTCTATCCTGCGACATGTTATTCCAGTGGTTATTTACTTTTAGTATTTCGATTCATATATTTTAAAAAAATTATTGACATCTAACAATAAATTATCTAATTTCATTTATCCTAACATCATTGATTTTAATAACAAAAATATAAAAATAAAATAAAATTAAAAATTTTAGATGATGATAACGATGATAACGAACAGTGGTGATGGACAATGATATCACGAGAAGCCGTAGGTGGTTGAATAATTTTACCTTCATCTCATCTATAATAATTACTCGTAGTCCCCAACAACACTGTCGTTTATTACTATCGACGTCGTCCATCATCACTAATTGAAACGTTAAAATTATTGTTTTTATATTTTTAAAAACAAAATTAATATCATTAGGATAAATATATCCAGATGTTTTACCTTTATGATTATAAAAATATTGATATATATTTTTTAAAATAAAAAAATTAAAATATTAAATATAAAAATTAAGTAAAAAATGAATATGTAATTAGTCTTAATCGTGACTGACAGGAAATTCTCTCTCTCGAAGGGGGAAGTTGCAGCTTCCATATATTTCGTTTGTGTTTTCTCGCTTTCTCGATACTTTGGGTTGTACCTAATAAATTGCATGGACTATATGATTGACCGCATCAGGCTTGTCACAATCAAAAAGCACTTGCCATCACGAAGGACGTGAGAAGAGGCTGCCTCGACCGACCCTTTATCTCCACCTCCGCGTGTTGCTGTTAGAAATTTCCTTAAAATCTCTGACATGACACATCAAGCAGCAGCCACGTACACCCTCCACGTCAGGTGGGACCATTTGGTACCTCATCTGTCAGTCTTCCGTTGACTAAATAAAATTAGGTTAGTGCATGATCATGTAAATTT